GGTATATTTTGACCGCTATCTTTCCCTCTAGGCTTTGAAGGAAGCTTTTGAAGTCTTTTGCAACAAGGGCGTTGCTGGAAGCTCAAGTGCTGAGCTACTCGCAACTTTTTGTGATAATATTCTAAAGAAAGGTGGAAGTGAGAAACTTAGCGATGAAGCTATTGAAGAAACACTTGAAAAGGTCTGTGGTTTCTACATTCTGGTGCTTTTTTCAGATATTTAGATGTGATGTAAGACTATAATTGTATTTGTTATTGATTTGCAGGTGGTGAAGTTACTTGCTTATATAAGTGACAAAGACCTGTTTGCTGAATTCTATAGGTAACTCTATGTTGTTGGATGGATAGTTGCATTGGATATGATTTAGGCCTGTTTTTCTGATAATTTTTAGTTTTGCATTAATCCTGGCAGGAAAAAGCTTGCTCGGCGTCTTCTTTTTGACAAGAGCGCTAATGACGACCATGAGAGAAGTATTTTGACAAAACTGAAGCAGCAGTGTGGTGGTCAGTTCACCTCAAAGATGGAGGGAATGGTCAGTTGCCTTCAATTGTCCTAGTCCATTGGAAGTTATTGCTTGTTTGCTTGAGCTGTTGACTTATTGAGGTCTTATTTTCTAGGTTACTGATTTAACATTGGCGAGGGAAAACCAAACCAGCTTTGAGGAGTACCTAAGTAATAATCCAAATGCAAATCCAGGGATTGACTTGACCGTCACTGTCCTGACTACTGGTTTCTGGCCAAGTTACAAGTCTTTTGATCTCAACCTTCCAGCAGAGATGGTATGCAATTTTTGTAACAAAAATCTTTGGACAGGAAACTTTAGATTAAGTTTTGGCCTTTGAAGTCCAGGCAGTATTGCTGACACCTACACTTCTGCATCACTGTGGCTTCAGGTTAAATGTGTTGAGGTTTTCAGAGAATTCTACCAAACTAAAACAAAGCACAGAAAGCTTACTTGGATATATTCTCTGGGAACTTGTAACCTTATTGGGAAATTTGAACCAAAAACCATGGAGCTAATTGTCACAACCTATCAGGTAAAAAATGGGGGTATATATATGATTTTTATCTTTCCTTCCCTGTTCCTTCCTGTAGCTTTAGCAGAGTAATGATCCTGTCCGCTAGAATGAATTTCAAAATTGCTAATTTTTTCTGTAATTTGGGTTATAGGCCTCTGCATTGCTTCTATTCAATTCCTCGGATAGATTGAGTTATTCAGAGATCATGGCTCAATTGAACTTGAATGATGATGATGTCGTTAGACTGCTCCACTCCTTGTCGTGTGCAAAGCATAAGATTCTTAACAAAGAACCAAACACAAAAACTATATCTTCTACTGATTCCTTTGAATTCAACTCCAAGTTCACTGACAAAATGAGGAGAATCAAGGTATCCAAATCTTTCTCCCAGTTGAATTGTTTATTCTGGCAATACCATCCCGCGTTACCTAATGACGTCATTTGACTTTGTTCAACATGCAGATTCCTCTTCCTCCTCTTGATGAGAAAAAGAAGGTAATTGAAGATGTTGATAAGGACAGACGGTACGCAATTGACGCTTCAATTGTGCGCATCATGAAGAGCCGAAAAGTTTTGGGTCATCAACAGTTGGTTATGGAATGTGTTGAGCAGTTGGGACGCATGTTCAAGGTTTGTCACTGCACTTAGTTTTCTTCTACTATTTTCTTCTTTGTGGTACTTGGTTCTTAAAATTAAACTTCAAAATTGCAGCCTGA